CTCCGTAGTATTTTTCAAGTTAAAAAATATATAAAGTGAATATGTACACAATTAAAGTGCTAACTCAGTGCAAACACGTTGAACAATAGTGAACATTATTAAATCCCAAAGAGCAGTGAAAAAACGCTACCGGCATACAAAACATCATAACAACAATCGTATTTGTTGTGCCAACACAAGTAAGATCAAAGTGGAAGTCAAACTATTGACATCTCAGAAGGCCAAACTGTGAAATATTAGTGCAAAGACGGAAGAATCTAGTAAAAAATAAACAAAGAAATTATTATAACCTAGAAATAAAAACTGCAAATCACCACACATAAATTTATATTGATGTGCATGCCATCTAGTGCCATCGAACCGAACTAAACGTGCAATAATGTGCGTACGCGCATCAACTTAACAGCGACAGGAAATGTTTGAACTTAAATTGTAGTACAACTATTACCGCTGTTCACCGCTAGAGGCAGCAATGTCAAGGCTGAAGACTGAGTGTGGCAACATCGTTTCCGGGACACCTGAGATTCTGAGTGAGATTGAGAGGTTCTATGGGCAGCTGTACACATCATCGTTGGAGCCACACGCAAGTGTGAGTAACGATCCAAGAGCAAGTCTTATCCGACACTATTCCGATGATATCCCGGACGTCAGTCTGAGCGAGATTAGAATGGCTCTCCACCACCTTAAAAACGGCAAGGCCCCGGGCGAGGATGGAATTACAGCGGAGTTTCTGAAAGCGGGTGGAACACCGGTACTTGAAGTCCTTCAGAAGCTCTTCAATTCCGTCCTCCATGGTGGCACTACTCCGGAGGCGTGGAGCAGAAGCGCGGTGGTCTTGTTCTTTAAGAAAGGCGACAACGCTCTCTTGAAGAACTACAGACCGATTTCCCTTCTGAGCCGCGTCTACGTGCTGTTTTCGAGAGTCATTACGAATCGTCTCGCACGCAGACTCGACGACTTCCAGCCTCCCGAACAACCCGGTTTCCGAAAAGGCTTCAGTACCATAGACCACATACATACCCTTCGGCAAATTGTACAGAAGTCCGAAGAGTACAATTTGCCACTTTGCCTGGCGTATGTGGACTATGAGAAAGCCTTTGATTCCGTCGAAATTTGGGCGGTGCTACAGTCTCTTCAGCGGTGCCTAGTTGACTGTCGGTATATTGAAGTGCTGAAGTGTTTGTACAGTAGGGCTACGATGGCTATCCGAGTACAGAACCAGAGTACGAAACCTATCCAACTGCAGAGAGGTGTAAGACAGGGTGATGTTATATCCCCGAAACTCTTCACCGCTGCGTTGGAAGACGTTTTCAAGCTACTGGACTGGAAAGGATACGGTATTAACACCAATGGGGAGTACATCACTCACCTTCGATTTGCCGACGATATAGTCCTTATGGCAGAATCGCTGGAGGACCTTAGCACTATGCTCAATCACCTAAATGTTGTCTCCCAACGGATAGGTCTTAAGATGAACATGGACAAAACAAAGATCATGTTTAAAGTCCATGTCACACCTATGCCGGTAGTTGTTGGGAGCACTATGCTCGAAGTTGTTGACGAGTATGTTTACCTGGGACATATAGCCGATAGGTAAGTTGACCAGACGATTACTCGCGTGGTACACACATCTTCTCGTCAGGTATACCTCAAACTCTTATAAGGTACAACCAGTGCGTGTTGCCAGTGATGACTTACGGATTTGAGACGTGGTCCTTCACCGCTGGCCGTATGAGGACGCTCAAGGTGGCTCAGCGAGCTATGGAGAGGGCTATGCTCGGAGTTTCACTGCGTGATAGACTCAGAAATGAGGATATCCGCAGTAAAACCAGAGTGACCGACATAGCCCAACGGATTAGTAAGCTGAAGTGGCAATGGGCCGGCCATATAGCTCGAAGAACCGATAACCGATGGGGAAGAAAGGTTCTCGAGTGGCAGCCTCGTACCGGTAGGCGTAGTGTAGGGCGACCCCCCCACTAGATGGAGTGACGACCTGGTAAGACATGCAGGAAGTCGATGGATGCAGGTGGCTCAGGACCGTGCATTGTGGCATTACTTGGGGGAGGCCTATGTTCAGCAGTGGACTTGTGAAGGGCTGTAATGATGATGATGATGTTGACCGCTAGAGGACACCTCAAGTAACGAAACATGGAAAACGTTATTTTTTTTTATTTATTTAGGACAACCAACAAGAAGTACACGAACACAATGTAAATACTACAAATTACAGGAAGGTTTATATCTAAGTGTCATCTTAATTAAAGGTTGCCACGGCATGCAATGTGGACAACGAATATGTTTTTTAAAACTTACAACTATAAACTTAAAACTAGGTCTAAATGTTAGTTAAAAGTAAAGGACTGCATAATTTTTCGTTTGAATTTTTGAGGCTTATCAGCAAAAATATCAACGTCACATGTCTTGCAGAGCTGGTTATATTGCCTCTGTAACCTGTTTATGGTGGCGTGGTGAGCTAAATTAGTTTTACTGCCTTCAACTGAAAAGGGGACGTATCGGCTGACACGCACTAACTTAAAAGGTACCTTGAAATTTATTGCACTTAGTAGGTATGGACAGTCTACGTTTCCATTGACGATTTTGTGTAGCAACATGAAATCTAGCAAAACCCTCCGCTGTTGCAGGGTACTTAATTTAAAATACGTCGGTCGGTCTTCGTATGAGGGTAGATCCTTTATTTTGTAAGTTTGGTACGAAAGATACCACAAAAAAACCCTTCTGGATACGCTCTATGCGTTTCACGTAAATGTCATAAAATGGAGACCAGACCTGACTACAGTATTCGAGGCTGGAACGGACTAAAGACTTGTACAAGGATATTTTTGTAGAGGTCCTCTTAAATTCTTTAGAATTACGCAACACGAACCCCAACATTTGAAGACCCCTTGTAACAATTCCATCAACGTGCTTATGAAACCACAACTTTTTGTCCAAAATCACACCCAGATCTCGAACAGTGTCCACTTCTACCAAAGGATGACCATCAATATTATAAATAGGTGTCGGAATATTTACACACCTTGAGAATCTTATAATTTTACATTTATCGAGGTTCAAAAATAGTCTGTTCTTAATGCACCACAAAGACATCCGGTCCAAATCCTCTTGCAATAGGAGTGAGTCACTGTGGTCTTTGATTTTCAAGGACAATTTCATGTCATCTGCGTACATAAAGCAGGTCGCGTGTTTAAAAACAGACGCTAAGTCATTTATAAATATATTGAAAAGGATCGGACCGAGATAGGAACCCTGAGGAATACCAGACGTAGGTAGAAATTGTTCTGAAGAGTAACCATTTACCACAACTTTCGATTTTCTCTGCCTTAGGTATGAAGAGAACCATTCGAGAAGATTGCCAGTGATGCCCAAAATTGAGAGTTTGTGAAGTAAGATGTTATGATCTACAATGTCAAACGCCTTACTGAAGTCTGTGTAGATGGTGTCCACATACAAGTGGGAATCGAGAGACTTGGAGACATAGTCCACGAACGAAACGAGATTTGTATCAACCGAACATGAATATTGTATACGGTCCCATGAAACTGAATTTAAATGTGCTATGATTTTATCGTAGTCCGCCTTATGAAAGTTATATCTTTGGCTTTGAGTGTTAGGCAATAAACTTGGCGGATCACAACACGAAATTGTTAGAACTAAGGGAGGGTGGTGAGAGTCGGGGTTACTCAAAAGAGAGTCACCACGCACCACACTACCGACCTTCAGCGTGCTGGAGAGAACGAGATCAAGAATTCTATCTTTGTCATTTAAAATATAGTTATATTGAGTGAGATTATTAAGAGCAATAAAATCCAGTAGAGCATTATCTAATGAGCTTTTGGTTATAAAACTGAGTGGAGAAAACGTATTACGTTTATCCCAGATAATGTTACCCAAATTGAAGTCGCCCATAATTAATGTTTTTGCATTTGATTCCAACACACGGTTTGTATTTTCAATATAACAATCAAGAATGTTTTTTTGTAAAGGTGAGGGAAGATATACACAACACAATAATATGTTTTCACAGGAATTACCTCTTCCGCCTATCTCTAATTCCACCCATACATCCTCACAGTCGCTTTCCAGATGTGAGATCCTACGAGAACAGATATGTTTGGATACTGCAATGAGCACCCCGCCGCCGGGACCAGGTTTATTACTATGGAAGCCACTAGTCTCCCGGTCGCGCCTGTACACTAGATATCGCTCACTAAAAAAGTTCGCCATCGTATATAGTATTGTTAAGCCATGTTTCGCATAAGAAAATGACGTCGTAATTAGAACTTAATACACTATTATAAAACTCTGTGGTTTTTGTACGGAAGCCGCGTACGTTTTGATAGTAAATGTTTAACGTATTGAATTTTAAGCCTAATTAACTGTACGGTTGGCTTGAGAAAATTTAGATTAGCTTATGATAACCGTTGCAATGTTGTTGTATTCCGATGTATCCGTCTTTCGCATATAAATACGGCCGCCTCGAACCCATACATGCTTATACTGCAGCTCCCTAGCTCGAGCGCGCGTCGATGCATGAAGATACTTATTTTCAGGCGACAAATTTTCTGTTACGTATATGGCAGTCTTTTTTCTGTTCCGAAGCCGAGATGCCCGTTGTTCAGTCTATCTTGAGGATGATGTTTATTGTACTTTATAGTTGCGGCCAAAAGCGTATCTCGCGAGCGAGGGCTGTTTAACTTGATTAAAATTGAGCGGGGACGTGGGCTCTCAGGATTCTTTTTCGCAATACGTGAACAGTAAAATATATCCGCTTCATTTACAGGACAAGATACGGTTTTACCAAGTTGCTTAACAATGGACAATAGGTTTTCAGACTTCCTTTCTGGAACGCATTGGATTTCCAAGTTTGAGGCGCGGGAGATTTGTTCGAGTTGGTTAAAGCGACTGGTGATAGAGTTTAATTCATTCCGGAGCTAAAGCGAAAGCTGTTTAAGTCCTCCTTTATCTCCCTAATACATTCCTTAATGAAACCTCGAAGTTCCTCCTGCATAATTGGTACGCATCTCCACGCGCGACACACATGAGCCGGAGCAGCCGCTTTGCGCGGCTACGGAAGCGACTATGGCCGCTTGTTTGGACGTTCCCTGCTTTCCACGGCGTGATGTCACATTGGGCGTATTTGAATTATCATTGCGCGGTTTTTTGATACGACACTCAGGGCATATCCAACTCATCTTGACATGATGAAAAAGTAAACGGGTGCAGCATTCTAAGAAATCGTAGTCGTCAATCGTTGAATGGCGCATTGATGCATGGTGAGTGTTGTTTATTATAACCAACTGGGTTTGACGTGGGACGGTCTGCACAGGTAGCACAAGCGGGTGCGAAAGTGGGAAAGCAATTATGTCGACTATCTCTTATCGCGGCGGGGGTGCGGCAGGTCGTCTCGCAAATTAACAGCAGCGCGACGGAGCTGTTTTATTATAAATGTTTATTAAAAACGTACTATGCACTCACGGGAAAATAGCAAAGATTACTACGTCATTCACCTGTTTTAATACACAAAATCGCGAGCACGGATCGGGTATTTTATTAGATAGACCGATAACACGTCCACTACGAAAGCTTGTTTGGACGACACTGCCCTTTATGAAAATTCTAAAAGAAATTCAGCTAAATAATCTAAAACAGGAAATAAAAAAACATGCAAGAAAATATAACCAAAGCTATAAACGACAACATCAACCAAAAATTCACAATTATGGAAAATAGAACAAGCAACCTACAAATAAAAATAAATAAACAACAAAAAACAATAGATTATTTGGAAAGACAGGCTAGAAAGAAAAATTTAATATTATATGGAGTAGAAGAGACCGAGCATGGATACGAAGAATTGCAAAGTATATGCTACATAAAAAATCACATGAAGATTTCCAGAGAGCAGTCTGAAATAGAACTTGTGAGAAGACTTGGTAAAAAGGAGAACAAGACAAGACCTTTATTGGTAACATTTACAAAAATGGGAAGGAAAATTTAAATTTTAAAAAACAAAGCAACACCGAAGGGCTCACTCATTAATATTAAAGAAGACTTTCCACAAAAAGTTCTGTTGAATCGTAAGCAACTACAAGCAGAATTAGAAAAAGAACGTAAACTCGGAAAAAATATTGTACTACGATATGATAATGTTACTTACGATAAGAAAGTAACATTGCCAGATAGCCCCAAAAATAGGAATCCCATAGCAGACACACGGAAAAAAAAACGGAATCTGTCAAAATCTTCTGATTTTGAAACCGACGTAAAAAGCGAAAGCAATGTAAAACCGAAGAAAAACAAGTTAAACAATATTACCTCCTACATATACAACACACAACCGAAAAAAGGATTGGAGTCAAGTTCGACTGAGATACACTCATCACCAAAAAACGAGCAAAAGAAGCCCCTCTACATCTCCCAATACGGCTGGTCACCGCGGGGGATAATGACTACAACCCTCCATTTCCACTACGAAATCTCTACATCTGTACCTACCTATAATGTAAAATCTCTACTATCAGATGAAAGATTACTCAAATTTAAGAGAGCGATTTCAAAAATAAAATACGATATTATTGGCCTTGCTGAAATAAGAAGAACGGGATATAATATTACAGAAAAAACGAACATATTTTCTGTTATTTCGGGGAAACGAAAGGTCTATATGGATTCGGATTTCTTATAAAAAAGAAATATAATCTAAACATCGAGAGATTCATAGGAGTACCTGAACGCATCTGCATTTTAAATCTCAATTTCGACAACACAAAACTCACCATTGTACAAGTACATGCGCCAACTGTTGATGCAAGCAACCAAGAAATTAATAACTTCTACAACCAACTACAGACTGCACACTGTCAATATAATAACCAGGAAATAATATAAGGCGATTTTAACGCCCGTGTTGGATCAAATTCAGCCAATACGCGAGACCTTAAATCCCCTCCCAAACGAGAGGAGTCCTGCATATAGGTTGTAACTTTATTAAAATGCATAAACGAATTTGCGTCTATTATTTCAATAAAGCATTATACTCATCAGTTTTATTGTTTTTATACATTAAAAAATATTGTAACATCTATTATTCTAAGAGCTATACCAGTTTGCAAATAGATTTTTTCCGTACGATTACCCGAATATCAAATGATTAGAACAATAATCTTACGACGTAACGTGATACCTTAAACGAATGTAGAAGTCGAAAAAGGAAGGAACATCACATCATTTGCTATATTCTTAATATTTATGCAATTTTAAAGTTAAATTATTCGGAGTTAGTTTGCAAAAACCTGTAATGTGCGCCTACTAGCAGATAGCAGAATATTCATGTCCTAATACCTTTGAACCTTTCGGGACAAGATCAACGAGATCTAATCAAAAAGGTCAATATGAGCCTGATGACTTTTTTCTACACTTGGTCTTAACCTTAAATATATGAATACAACGATCCCAAATCAACCCAAAGACCTTTCGCTTTTATCTTATATTACGTCTAACCAGCTTCTGACGTATTGCTTAATAACACTAAACTACAATACCATCATATCCATGTTTCCGCTAGAATATTAAATATTATTGTGATTTATTTGCTATAGTTGGCCACGCTTGGCAGGCACACAATATCCAGTCACTGCGAGGGTGCGGAGTGCTGGCTCAAAAGGTTGTAGGTTCGAATGCTCCATTCGACTTCTTTTGTAAAACACTCCCAACACGAGCATTTTCAGCTTACCAGTAATGTTTATAGGGAATATTAGTAATATTAAAACATGGCTAATATTTTTAATATAAAATTATCTTGTAGAATCAATTTATATCAATCTAGGATTTAATTATACGCCATCTGGTGTCTTTTTTCAGTAATATCCTGATCCTCAATAAATTTTTGTTCGAAAAAATGCCTTTACCTATAGAATGAAGAAGAAAATATTTTTTTGATTTATTACACTAAAACTTAGTCTAAATATAAGGATTTTAACATTTATCTCTATGTACATATTATAAAACAAAGTAGCTTCCAGCAATCTATACGCTTAGATCTTTTGAACTACGCAAAGGATTTTGATGCGGTTTTCATCAATAGACGGAACGATTCAAGAGTTCGGTTTATATAAATATTATCGAGATTCGAAAATCACCCGTGCGAAGTCAGTTATAAAATTAAACTTTCATCTCATACTTTATGTCGCAGTTGTGGTTGAAAATTTTGTTATAAAATAAATCATTTCCCGTGAAATAATTTTCTTTTGAATTTTATTTGATTTGAAGATTTCACTTCTAACAGTGTGTGAAATGCACAAATGTTTTTTCATAATTTCTTATTACTGTCGTTTTATTTATAATTTGGTCACATCCTTATTTATAGCAAATTTCATGAAGATATAGTTCGATTACCCTGTGTTTCCTGTATCAATATTCACATCTCCTAATTGTTACTTCCATGTTACCTTTGAACTCAAATCTAGTTTAAGTGAAGCGCGGACAATCAATTAATATACAATCTACGGTTAGATCTACATTTCCGTTGCAAATGTATCCTGGGAGATCAGTGAACGATTGCGTAATTAATTTATTATTTTTATAATATTTATTGTTTTTATAGTATTGCTACTACTACTATCCTATCTAGGAGGGATCGCTCTGCACTTATGGATCTGGTTGGAAATGCAGGATGTCGACGAATGCAGGTAGCTTAGGACATAAGTACTTTGATATATAATGGTGATATTATAACATGTGAAAGGTGACCAGAATATCCAATATCGATTACTTTCATGAAAATTCTTTAACTTCTAACTTCCTGAATGTAGTACTAGGTCGTAACTCGATCTAGTGGGCGCCGCCTTACACTTTGCTTAACATTACGAGGCTGCCCCTCGAGAAACTTTTTTCGGATCGGTTGTCGATTCTTGGAGATACGTGGGACACTCAATAATTTTTGAGGTATACAAAAAGTATTTTAGATACTATTAACATTTATTTTACTTTTTTTTTTCAAATTATTCTCCATCACGCTCTATACAAAGTTCTATTTACCTCGTGAACAAAAAGAGACGGCTAGCTGATGGTAGATTTTGCGTTACATTACCATTAAACAATGGAACTCAGCGCCTTGGCGATTCATACGGTTAAAAAGCAATTTGATTCCTTAAAGAAGCCCTTTAGGCGACAACCTTACGTAAAAAATCAATACGTAATCAATAAAGAATATGCTGAGCTGAGTCCCTTATCAGAGTGTGTCATCACACCAAAAAATGCTAATTTTTTACCCCATCATCCAGTTTTGAAAGAACAGAGTGAATTGACGAAATGTTAGGTTGTATTCGACACATCGGCTTAAAAGGGTTCAGTAAAAGTTACTCGCTCAATTATCTTTTGTACAGATGACTTTTATATTCACAGGAGAAATAGAAAAAAAAAATGTACAGGCAGATTGCCGTGGAGCCCTCCCAAAGACACCTACATATGATTGTGTGGCGTGATGACGAAGCCGAGCGGATGAGGTACTTGCAAGTAAATACAGTGACTTACGGTACTGCATTTGCTTCCTACCTTAGCACGAGGTGTCTCATTCAGCTAGGGCAGGAATGCAACGATCCGTTGATAAAGGAAATAATTATTTGCGATTTTTATGTTGACGATTTAATAACTGGCCATAATGATGCAACACAATTGTACTCCCTTTATCAACGAGTCGTTAACTATTTAAGTTCTGCGCATTTTAACCTACAAAAGCTGAAATCAAATTTTAATTTTTTTTGAGAAATAAAGCACAATCGACTAGTGAAAGTTTAATTTTTTTTTTAAATTTGTAACACATTAGGGATTGAATGGGATCTAAAGTCCGACCCAACATAAAAAAATAAACATCCAATCCGCTTGTTGAGCGTGGCAAGTATGGGAAATTACCCCATTTTTCATCTAAAAACACTCGATCAACGTTATGCAATATATTTTATTTAAGTTAAAATGTGATAGGGTTATATGCAGCAGTTATATTATGGTTGTAGTACGAATGGGTTGGCTTGATGGGGAAGAACCATGCCCTCACAGAATACCAGCGTAAAATAACAGCTTAATGCTGCTGTGTGTCTCATGTTGAGTGTAAAAAATCGAAGACGCTTTTTACTGGAAATGAGACATTCAATCTTAGTGCTCAGGGATGACAACGCATCTGCAATTTGATTCTTAATTAAGAAAAGATGTAGATTCTTGGTTTGCTAACTTTATTCGAAGCGGAACCTCGGACCGGTCATATGAATATCAAATATAATCAGATTAGTGTCGGATGAGGCTTGCTTTTGGTTTGTGTCTCACTTGCGAGTGACACTAAGGACAATAGCTACAGCTATTATTAGAATCACTAAATCTCACTACAAATCTTCGGTCCCCGGAAAGGACACTTCCGCTTTCGTTCCTTATTAAAATATTCAATACTTGAAAAATTTAGGAAGTATCAAGTGTGTACTTATACGATGCAAAAATGCAAAATTAAATTGATTTTACTAATTGCATATAAAATATTTACGGTACCAAGTATACGTAGATAATTGTTCGTAAAAAAATTTGAGACACATCGTATAAAATTGGAGTAAAAATCGAATGGAAAGTGACAACAGCATAAGCAAAAGAATCCAATTATTTGTATCCAATTAGCAACTGAATTGATATTTAAATAGTTTCGAAGTGTAAAATAAAAGTTTAAACTCTTTTAGATTAATGTTATAAACCTGTCCGATAAACAGAATGAGTTTTCGCCGCTGGGAATAGCGGTAGTTTGGCCTGGAGAAATTCATTTAATTTTATGGTGCAGTTTATATTGTTATATTATATATACATATATAAAAAAAATGAAACATTCTTCTTTTATAGAATAAGCATAAAATAACAGAATAATGCTTCTGTAGAAAAGAGACATTCTATCTATGTCTTAAGGGGTGACATGGCATCTGCATTTTGACTCTTAATTGAGGATAGATATAGATGTCTATAAGCCAC